GGCTCGAACTCACAAACTGCGAGATCATGACCTGGGCCGAAGTCAGATGCACAAACAACTGAGTCACCCAGGGGCCCTTCTAAATATTTTTAAGTGAAGGGCACCCACTGCTTGTGCTTTGGGAAATAAACTGACCCCCTCTACCAAGGTGGGAAGGAGTCCAGGAAGGACAAAAACTTCCCTAAGGCTTCCTTTCAATGTGTCCAAGTCAAGAGCTCTTCAAAGGACCATGAATGATCATTTCCTAGGAAAAGCTAGGATACTGAACTCACACAAAACTGAGTTTTTTGCCTACAATAGACAAACATCCCATCCAAATTCCTACTATTGAGGAAATAATCTCTGCCTTGGAAAGGATGCTGCAATCATTGGCTGCAACCGGACCCTCCCCACCAGGGGGAGCTCTGTCCAGCCAAAGGAGCCTCCTCAGCCCCAGGTGGCCTCCTCCAAGAGCAGATCAGGATTCCCCCCTGAGGAGGTTCCCCCACAAATTATACCAACACCTTCCCCCCTCTTTGGAGCTCTCCAAAGGCAAGTGTCTAGGCACAAACCATGGAAATGCTGGAAAGGAGGTTGGGAAGCACATGCTGTGAACACCCCTAGCCTCACCCCATTACCCACAAGTGCAGATCCAGACAGTCCACACAGCAGAGCGGCATGGAAGGAGCCTGTGGGTGGGCGGTGCCGAAAACGATCCCATTCCATTCTTACCCCGGATGCTGCCACTTAATAATAGCCTTGTTGTCGTGGGCCAACTGTATAACTTCATTATTCAGGCTTATCTGCATAAACGTATTATCTGCCTTATGTGGTTGTTGTGGAGATTAAATGAGCGAATACGTGTGAAATAGAGCTTGTGAATTTGTAAGGCACCACACAAATGCTAGCTTTTGTTACTTCGCCTGAGTGCACATGCTCACACGAGCTTGGTCCTTGAGGAACTCAAGAAGAATGAAATCATTCGGCCATGTTTGCGTGGGGCCAAACTACAAAAAAAATCAACACACTTAATATTCTTCATCTAGCTCCAAATATTATACCCATCAATAGGCTGCTTCAGACTCACACGGAACACTTGTATAGACAGTGATTCTGGGACCTTCTCCCAAACCCACAGAATCATAGTCTCTGCAATAAGCCACAAAACTTGTATGTTAAACACTCTCCAGAGGATTCTGCCATGCCGTCAGGTTTGGGAACCAACCGCACGCCTTTGTACAGGATGTGCAAATTTCCTAAACAGGTCAGTCATGGCAATAACATTGTTCTGGCGCTCAGAAGGACTCTGTCTCTCCGTCTCTTTCCTCGGATACACATATCCTAAGATACGGAGGGGTGTTCATCTACCAGACACAAATACACTCACGAAGAGACACAACACATATACGTGGGCACACGAGGTCACACATACAGGCAAAAAACAGAAAGGAGAAATATACTAAGAAGGGCGCCTAATAATAAAAGGTATCAAGATTTTAAAAGTCTATAGAATTTGTGCTTCTCAAGGACACAGAACATGGGAGGAAGAAGAAGTAAGATATTAAGACCAAAAGCAAGTGGCCAAAACTAGAAGCCCACCTCTTCCATGACTGCACACCACTATGTCCAGAATTCCAATATTAGACCACTCCCCCCACCCCACCCACTACTCACTTGTTTGTAATTCTGCCTCAACCAGGAACTTGTGAGAGCCTCCCTACCTCCCTGCAAAGGGCAGGGACATAGTATCTTCATCGCAGCAGCCTCCAACCCAGCACAGAGCCTGGCATCTAGCTGGATTCAGTAAATGTGTGTCCAGCACATGCCAGGGCGAGAAGAGGCAGGTAAAGACGAAAGACAAAGTGCACAAAGAGGGATATGGATCTCTTGTCCCAGCTCCCTGGTGTAAACTAAGAATAAGTAAGCTTAAGGTAATGAGGTTCAATGCAAAACAGAGAGAGTTCACGTCCCTGCAGGCGTCATTAACTGCATCACAAGGAGCAGAACCACCCTGGGGGAAAAAGAAGAAAAGCTCTCCAGATCTACAGGCAGGTCTGAGGTGAGAAAATTGATCCAAAGGCTGTTTGAAGTCACCAGTCTGATCTCTCACTCCCCTGCTTACTACCCCTCCAAGGGCCCCTAGCACCCCCGAGGTCCTACCCAATCCTACCCTTTCACACTTGCCCGCCCTTACTCCTGCCGTCAGCCACGTGGTTTACACTCAAATTATGCCAAGTTCACACAACCCGCTGTGTCATTCCTCTGAGCCTGTTTGGTACAGTTAACCTCTACCTTGAATGCCCTCCCTACCTCCTGGCAAACCTACTGTTCATCCTTCTCAACTCAGTTCTGTCACATCCTCCTCCCCCAGGAAGTCCCCAGGCTCCCATGACACCCAGTACACTGAGCCCTGTTGGCGCTCAGCACTCTGTATGATCCTGGCACATTCCTGAGCAAAACCCCTACCCCTAGAAGGTGAGATCTACATATTTGTACCCATAACACCTAGCACACTGCCTGGCACACAGCAGACCGTCAATAAACGCTTGTGGGACTCAACTCGGCATTAGCAAGATTCCAAACGCAAGTACCAGAAGACTTAGTTAAAAAGGGATCTGAAAGACACCTTGATTTAGTGGAAAGGTTCTGAATATCAGCGGTCTGAATTCAAGTCAGAACGACCTAAGGCAAGGCACAAAGACTGAACCTGTTTCTTAATCTATGAAATGAGGATACCACCCAACTTACACAATTACTTATGAAGAAGCACCTATTGTTTACCTGGCACAAACTGGGCCTCTGTATGGACTTACTGGGGAGACCCCCTTCTCTCCCCATCCCCCCCCCTCACTTTTTTAGCCTCCAGCTTCAGACCATACCCTCTTCCAAAGGCTTTTTCCAAGTCCCTGGAGGACTGCTCTGGACCCAGTTAGTAAATGTTGTCTGCCTGGTCAGGAACCCCCAGAGGCCTCCTTCTGTGTCCCACGACCAGGTCTGAGGAAGAGGAGACTCAGGAATGGGGACTCTGAATTAAAGGTAAATGTGTGAATGTAAATTAGAGTCCTTCTGGCTGGGCTTGGAGGAACCCACTGGGCAGGAGTTGGAAAAGCCACTTGGATTCTCATTTCCCCAACTCCCCACCAACATCCAGGCGTCTGGTTTTACAGGCTCCTCAGTGGTGTTCAGGGCACATTCAACTTCCCACGCAGCTAAAGAGATCGGGGACAATTAGAAAGCAGGGGTGGCGACAGGCCGGCGGGCCCGGGCAGCCAGCGTGCGGGAGGCTGCACGGCGCTCGCCCGCGATGCACACGCGCGCGCGGCGCACCCCGGGCCTCCGGCCTCCCCTGGTCGGGCCTGGCAGCTGCGGGAAGGAAGGAGGTCAGCGCAGCGGCCAGACTCCTCGCGGGCGCCAGCACCGGCCCGCCCTGCCACCCGACCCCACCGCCCGCGACTCTCCCGCGGCGTCCACGGACCGCCACCCCTGGGCGGCTCGTCTGCAGCGTCCCCTCCGCCCCGGGACCCCAGCGCGCTGCCCAAGTTCAGCTCCCCACTCTGCCCGCGAGCGCGCTCCCGCCACCCACACCCACTCCCACTCCACACTTCACGGGTCGGGAGATGCCTCGAGCCTTCCTAAATCCAGAAACATCACCCTGTGGCCGCATCCGGCGCCCCGTTACCTGCTCGCGGCACCCAGCAAACCCGCCCTGGCTTCCCGGGAGCCCGCAAACCCGGCGCGCGGGCTGCGCGCACTCCTGCAAATCAGTGCCCCGCGCCCACCACGCCGCCCAAGCCCGTACCTTGGGGGTCTGCACTTCAGGTCCCGGCGGCAGCTCGAACTTCTTCTTGGTTACCCAGAAGAACAGCAGCACGGTGATCCAGAGTACCCCGAAGATCGGCAGAGCCAAGCGGCGATTCAGGCGCCGCATGGTCCCGTTTGCCTCGTCTTCTCCGCGACGCTACGCCCCTGGGGCACCCCCTGGCGGTCAGGGTCGGCGGGGCAGGAGTCCTGGAGAGCGCCGACCTCCGGATCAGGGTGCTGGGGCGGCAGGAAGCTGCTGGGTGCTCCGCCCGCTTCGGAGAGAAGCGAGCTGGGGCGGGGGGCGCGGGGCGCAAAAGGGCCGGGAAGGACCGAAGGGCAGCCA